GAAACAATGTAGTGATGCTTCTCCAATACTTTTTAATCTCTAGAATTTTAGAGCCAGCTCTGGTGTCTTTGTATTTAATAGCACTCGCTGTATTTTTTTTCTCCATTAGCTTGTCTGTTTGCTTTCTGTGTAAGCCTCTGGCATCCACTATACCTCTGGCACGCGTGCAGCTCAGCTCCACATATTGTTATGAGCCACCTCCTTTTGTTTGCTTTAAACATGCCACCCACCGATTTGATCTTTCAGCTCCATGCAAAGGGTAGTGCTCCCCACAGGGAACAGTAACTCCTTATTCACCCCATCCATGCCACTTCTTATGGAGCTTCATCTTGTACCCTGAAAAGTTTTCAGTCTTTATTGCTTATTTTGCATTCAAGGCTCACTGTTTTGCATGTAAACTCAGAATCATCTCTCTGGTGCCTTTATGGGCCCGCTTAAATTTATGTATATTGGGTCTCATTTGCTATTTTACAGTGCAATCATCATCCATCACGCAATCCTTTTGGGTTCATGCAACTGTTTTCAGCTTGCTGTTGCCTTTGCCACTACCTTGAGTAACTTGTGTCATTGCCAAACTCTGCCACATTATTCACCTCCTTTTCCAAGCCTGTGGTAGGTAATTTGACAGCACGGCCTCAGCATTACTAGATTTCTGTGAGAGTCCTGTAATAACTATGATAAATGTTTTTTGGATGGAAATCTAAGGAGACTAAATATGCTAAACTTGTCTTAATACTGGCCAACTTGGGGCAGGGTGGAGGGAGGCTGTTTGCAAAGCTTGACCTCCTCTCACAAATCCCGCACTGAATCATTCATCCACACCCACTAACTCAGTTCTTCAGAGAACAGAGGTTCAGGGGTTTTTACCCATTTTTCCAAGAAAGATTTCAGGCTTTCTTCCAAAATTAACAATACATACGGAAATCTGTAATTTCAGGGAATCAGAAACGAAAAGAGAAAAAAAAAAGGAGGGGGGGAGAGAAGCTTAGAATACTTTAAATGTGTATTCGCATAACATTTAAATATGTGCAAAATTACTTTTCTAGGGCTACATGAATAACCTTACAATTTAAAAACTCACTAAAAGAGAATTTTAATATGAATTTTGGTAGGCTTCCAGAATCTTAATACACCTCAATACTGTGAAGAAACCAGGTCAAATTAGAAGGAATAGGATCTAGAATACTTTGGCTTTACAGATTTTGACTGTATTAAAAGCTTCCCTTTCCCATCCAGAAAAGATCCCTTTTCACCAGCAGTGAGACTACATACACTACGCCTGCAACTCGCACTATTTCCTGTGGTGCTACACAGGAAAAACAGTTACAGATAATTCAAAAAACCTTTACTAACTCTTAAGTACAGAAGGCATTTCTAGCAAAAGCTCTTCTATTAGCAAACATTATTAATAACTACCTGAAACTTATAAGACTAACATACAAAATGCAAACACTTACACAGGGCCTAAATTCTACAAAGCAGGGAGTAAATAGTACACACTGCAAAAGACATACCAGTGCAAAAGACATGCCCTGGAAGGGGCAGATGCAGATGCAAAGGTACAGTACAAACTGATGTTTAGCTATTCCACTTTTCTCAATTACTTTTAAACAGTTTAACTTGGAACAAAATTATTAAGCAGGCTACAGAGACAACTCACGTCCTTTTCAAGTAGGTGTTACCATCATTGACTTTTTGTAGTCAATGTAAACTAAAAATAAACAAACAAAAATAAACAACAGAAAAATCCACAATAACAGTGGTTACTTGCCAAGATAACATGGTAAAAGCTAGAGTGGCAAATAAAACGAAACTAAAACATTTCATGTATATGCAGAAAAGACTTTGCAATGGTCAGAGGCAAGCATGAGGCTTTGGCTCCGTACTGAAACAAAAATATTTCAGTTTACCGTAAGTTTCCTAATAATTATTTTGAGAGTGTGCATATGAGAAGAAGCTCATAATAAACATATGCCTGAGATCTACCAGCTTAAGATCTTCTTGTGCTTATCAAACACCTTCGCCACTGTCTACGCAGTATCAACAACTCAAGTCGATTCCTCGTCTTCAAAAATCTCTTAGGACAAACAAAATGGCATTTCAAAGTCCCTCAAAAATCTTAAGACCCAAGAAAAAGCTCTACAAAAGTTCTAAATTTGTACAAGAGCTGCAGCCAAATGCAGTCTCTCCCCCCAGGTCAGAATCATCTGGGCTGCGGCCCAGTTTTCTCCTGCCATCATCCCATCTTTTCCTGGCACTATTCCTCTGCCCCTAGCCTGACAAAAGCATCACATCACATTAAAAGCTTTGTTAAGTTCATGATGGTGTTGCCTAACTAAGTCACATCTATGTTTAATCACACTTGTTAAAAGTGCGTCTTTTTATTGTGTTGCAGAGATTTCAAGAAACACCAGACACTGTTATCTACTCACAAAACGCCATGTTATTCCAGCTAGAACTGAAGCATTTACACATCCAAAATTAAGCTTAGAAGATTTTCATTCGACAGCAGCAGGGGAGCTGCTCTCCCCTCCACGTCAGGAGAGCTGCACTGCCTGTAACCTACACAACATTAAGCACCAGTAAAGCACAGCATTTGAACCTACTGGTCCCCACAGTAAGATATCTAAAGTCTGCATCCCATAACAGACACCTGCAGTATATTCATTGTGCCTCACAGGAGGGGAAGTATTCAAAATTAAACAGCTGGCTAATAAAGTACGCTCTGTCTTCCTGCTATTAAGACAACCAGAAACTTGCATTTTTGAAAAAATGTGAGATCCAGAAGCAGGAAGAAAAGACATGCATGGTAGATTGGAGAGAGTTACGACAGGTGACAGGGCAAGGAGGGGCTTACTTGACTTCTGATGGTTAACTGGAAATTCACAGGGCTCAGAGCTGGAAATGAGTTAATCTCAACTGATTTAGTTCTGAATTACCTTTAAAACAGTCACTCAATTAGTTGCAATCTAATCTTTAAGAGAAAGGAACCAGAAGAGCCAGAGAGGATAGGGAAACTTTTTTTCTCCTTTCATAGGAAAAAAAAACAAAAAAAAGAGAGACATTAAGTATTTGCAAAAAACAGCAAAACTAATTCAGGCAAATTGCTCTATGAAAGAGGAAGACAGGAGGCATCTGATGAATTCCAACATGAAGGTACAGATCAGATCTAGTGGTTTGATGACACTATTAGATAAAGAAAAATATATTTCTTTAAAAAGATTATTGATTCAGGAAAATGTGGCTTATGAGACAAAGTGGCTTGCAGATACACTGCTCTTTGAGATTCTGCAAAACAATGCAACAGAAAGAACTGGTATTTATTTTGATTTGCCATCAAGATCAATGACGCAGAAATGTTTCTAAAGAAAACTCCATAGCAGTAAGATCTTATACGACGTGACTGTGATGGGGAAGCGATGCGCCTTTATACTGCTTCTGGCTATTTTTCCTTTAAAGGAATTTTTATTTTCAAATTCAATATTTTTCTTGTTTCACATTGAAAAATGCCTTCAGTAATCTATTCTCATGTAATATCCACAACACTCATGCTGGAGAATTTCACATGTCAGTACATTTATCACTGTTTTTCCAAATCTAGTCAATAGAGTGAAGAATTCAAAACTCTTAAATTTGTATCAATTGTGTTTCTAATGAGAACTAGATTAAGCATTTTAATTTTAAAGACATCGTGCACCATTTTTTGTCCTTCAAGGAAACAAAACAAACTGGACTGCATCATTTTTTAAAATCCCTATTAAATCTCAGAACTCTCAGTAATTTGAATGAAGCTTTTTTAAAAAAACTGGTTCTCCAAAAAAAAAAAATCACAATTTCACTCAACATTAATGCTGGAGTTCACCCAAACTTCTTTGGTTTCTCATATTTAAGGTTCGAAAACTAACAGTGCAATAGTTATCTAATAACTTTTTGAGTACCACCTTAGGCAAACTAACACCGCAACATTAAATTTGGCCCATATATTTTCACAACTATTTTTGTAACCACAACTGAAGTCTTAGCAACTTAAGAACACAGTTGAAGATTGGATATATGCTTCATTTAGGCTGTTTTAGAAAATGTTCCTACTTCAAGCTATCCTTTCCAAATATTTAATTTAATTTAATATAATAAGCTGTTGTTAAAATCAAAATGAATGTATCGATTTTGTCATGGCTATGGAAATCAGTTAATTTTTCAGCTTTCAGTTTGGAAAACAGAGGTTGTTTGAATACAAAGATTGCTGTCATACAGTTTAATTGTTCATTTTTCTACAACACTGAAGATGATGACAGCTCATCGGACAGTTTTCTCTGAACACTGCTGCTGTTCAGATGCTTTTTATCCCAAGCTCTGTCCCACTTGTATTTTAAAAAACAGTTTTGCCTCATTACACAGGGTTTCTGCAGTGTCCTTATCATGCTGGAACTTTTCAGCACCAATTTTAGAGGTGGTAATCAAGCAACTGCCCTGTAACATCTGGGGGTGCAAATAATGGTTATTTTCATGAAAGAAAAAGAGAGCCTGACTGAAATACATCAGCAAGTTCTTTTAAGGAGCTGGAAAAAAAAAATCTGAGCGTTATTGAGAGCCTCAGCTGCTTTCACCACTGCAGAGAATATCTAATACCAACTTTTTTCCTTTATGCAGGATTTATTTTTCTCCCCTTATTGTTTGCTTCCTGCTTACTGAGTGTGATGCCAATGAGTTCTGCATCACTAGGATAAGTTTTAGGGCAGGGCAGTATCTAATGCAACAAAACTAACTCTATTTGATATAGCAATGAGATGCTTCATTTATTCTTATTCAAAAACAAATCTTTGAGTCATGGAAAGTACTGCCTTCAATTACTGATATTTTCTATATGCAACATAAGCAAGAGTTGCCACATCACAACATAAAAGCTGGGAAAAGCATGTGTTTATCACCTTCAATCTTTTCAGCTGATTTACTGTTTCACGTTAACGTCACTAAGCACAAGCACAATATGCTCTACTCACCAAATAAATTGCTTGAATGTCCTTGCTTAGATATGGGTTTCAGTTCATTTAATCCCCAAGCGTAACGCTTATAATTATCCCAGGCATGTTTCATCATCTGTGGGGAAACGAAAGGAGGATTTTAATGTTGATTTAGCAAGAAGCCACAGCAAATACTAACTTGAGAATATACTCAATATTAAACATATTTAATTCTATGCTTAATTAAATGTGTTGCATGCATTAGAACTAAGAAATATTTTACAGACAACTAACAGTAGTATTGTTCTCCACATGCTCATGGTAAGAATTCTGTCTGTGAAGTTCATCTCTACTGTTACATGCATGCTTATAAGGAAGTCATAATAAAAAAATAGTTTTTACAGAGAGAAATTTATCATAGAGCACATTTACTCATGTAAGTGTTTGTTTTTTTGCGTTTTTTTTCCCCCGAAAACCTTTCACCAAAACTGTCAGACATAGGTGTTCATTTAAGAAGTTGGTATTTTATTCTGCTTTTTTTAAGATTGGAAATAGGAACAGCTCACAGTAATCATTAGTGCCTGGCAGAGTCACACATAAAACTAGCTTATTCAAGCGCAATACAGCTAATAACAGAAGAAAGAAGCTAGAATGGCAGAACAATATCTGTGAGAAAACATGAAAAATATGCCCTATGTTTTCCTCTCTCTCTCTAAGTTATTATGCTATCATTTTCTATGATCAGTGCTACTGTACATATCATTAGCTACTTCCAGGTGTCATTTTGTAGAAATAGTGTCAGAAGCTGGCAGCAGATGGACTGAACCCCTCTCAACTAAAGCACATTCAGCTCAAGGAACTCAAGGACACTTTGAACATCCCCCCACAGTGATTAGTTAGACATAGCCCTAACTATGTTTTTTGGGCAGATGTTGGCCAAACATCATCTTTTAACGCTCAGCAGCTACTTTCTTCAGGGGGTCAGCAGAAGGATCTTGGCTTTATACAGCAGCAGGAACAACATTGCTTGGGCCACCCTGCTCCTCCCTTCCAGGAGGCAGCGCAGGGCTGGGAACGCCTGGGGTCATCTTCAAGACACTAAGTGACAATCTCAAACCTTCTCCAAGATGCCGCTCCAGGCTACCAGTTGACAACACTGCGCTGCCCTTGCTTTTGGTCCTCCCCTCGAGGCTACACGTGTCAAGGATAATTTGGTTAAATGGCAGCTATAATCCCAAATTCTAAAGCAACAGCTTGAGGGCATGCTGATAATAGTAATCTTGCACTGCCTTCCTTCCTCCTCCCTTTGACATAATTTTTCTATGTAACTGAGCAATTAAGGATCTGCATTACGCCAGGCTATACTAAATGACAACAGATCCTCTAGAATACTGTTGTGCTTGTGGGAATGAGTGTCTCTTGCCTGTTTATAGAAGCGTAAATGTGTCTCTATCCGCCAGGAAAATTCAGGGACCTCGGTTTACTCTAGAACTTGTTTTGGACCAACTTCACCAATGCAAGGATTTAGCATCTAAATGAGATTTTGGCAGAAAGAGTGAGAAGCTGTATGGAAATGTTGGTATTCAACAGTGCATGTCAGGAGCATTTTTTCCTCAACACAGAGCTGGTAGAACAGAGTTAAATAACAGAGCTCATGTCTACGTGGCATTCCCTGGCTACAGAGATCAAGATTATATTAAATTGATCATTCAGATACAGCATAAGGCTAAGTGATTTTCAAATATACTAATTAATATCCAAGGTATTTTGCACACTATACAAGATTAAGCTGCCCTTCAGTCACGTACCAGACCAGTAGGTTCTGCTTTGAATACTGAAGCATCAAACATTTTAGACAGGCTAAATCCTGACATGCACTGAACCTGCCATTTTTTTATGTTCTGTCAAAGTTTATTCTCCTCAAAATCACATCATTTTATTGTTGTTTTTGTTTTATTTAATAATAACCTAGGAGCACCACATAGAAGGGCTGTCTTATTTTTTAAGACCAAAGTTGTAACTGAGTGGTCAGAATCAAAGTGCCTAAAGTTACGGTTTCATAACAAAATTGGAGAGGCTCAGGCCAGTATTGCCACAGTCCCACCCTTCTTCCCTTCTTTTCTCCTGGCACATCCACGCTCCTTCTCTTGCACCAGACATCTGGTGTGCGTCTGTCCCCATATCAGGTGACTTCAGAGAGCAGAAACTCTACAAATTTTTGTCCTTGTTGGGGTTGAGGATCATTTTTGTCCTGCCTAGCTTCCCGGGTCTGACTGCTGCATGCTGAGTATTGGAGCTGGTGAAAAGGCAAGAAGTGAACGATGCCAAACCCCAGTCAGTTCAGCCAAAACAGGCACGAAGGACATGGCATTGCAAGATGCCCCACATGGGCTCAGGAGCCTTCACTTCTTCCAGCCAGTCTGCATTTTGATCAGATTGCACTGTAAATGCCAGCATCTCACTCCTAACAGAAACACTTCAGCTACCTTATTGCTAGTAAGCCCCAAGGCAGTAAGAGAGGTAGCTAACCCAGCCAGTAGACACTATCTTCTAATAATAAGTAATGTTACATGTTAATGAACAGCAAGTTTTTTTTTTTCTTGTTTTCAAGTGACCTCCCATTGCTTCTAGGGCTACTCAAATGGTGTGGACTCACCACTTGATAAGATATTATAAGACATGAACCCAAGAAGCTAAACAAATGCACAAAAAAAGGTGATTGGGGAAGCAGGGAGATCCCCCCAGGCCCTTCTCTATTTCCTTGAGAAATATAAGCTACCAACCAAAAGATTTTTTTTAAGCCAACCAAATACTTAATTAATTAAAAAAGTCTAGATTCAGATAGAACATCAAGCTTACTAAGCATGTTTCCTCAGGCAGGAGAGGCACCTTCAGCTTATTTTCGCTTTAGTTTAGATGTTCACAGATTACAGACATAACAATTAAAGCAAAATATGTCTCCCAAAACTGCCAGTGAACCCTCTAGTGTTTCAGGGAGCCAGGAATTACTTTAGCTAAACACATACATATGTGTCTATTTAGCCAAAGATTACTAAAATGCAGTATAACTGTGTTTACTGTGTGAAAAGCCCAGTGATCTAAGTAGGCTAAAAAAACATTTTAATTAACACTATCTGCTTGGTAAATAAGTCACAGTTTGTGCTTCTAACTTAGCAAGAAGTCTTATTCATTAGAATTCAGCACACTGAAAGTGCTCTATACGATTTTTGCTCTGTAAGATTTATGGTTCTGTACCAAACTTCCCACTAGAATGAATTTGCTACTTGTTAATAGCTTTGTTTTCTATGTAAGAATAAAAAAGCTCCAAAACGCTGAACAACAACTTGAACAAGCCCAAGTCAGAGATAATTAAGCCTTTCCTTCAGCCAAATTCCTAGCACTGAAAGTTTAGGAACAAACTTCAACAGTTATGTGGATAAATGTATCTATCTTTGAGTCTCCACTGTTGAGCTGGCATAAAACTTCCCTAAATTGGTATTTACAGCTATTTTTCACTTGACGATAAGACCCTTTTGATCACTTGCTGACGGCTTGCACAAATATTTTTGATCACTAGATTTTTCTGAGCAAGCTCCACCTTTACCAAGAACATCTATATTTCAGCAAAATAACCCCAGTCTTGTAAAAGATGGAAGCTCCCAGTGACGAAGGATGTGCTACAGCTTGTGACCAGATGACTCCAGCAGATACTCTTAAACTCCTCTACAGCCTGAGTAGTAAAGTGATTTCATTTGACTGCTTTCCAGTAATCCCTTGGTACTCCTCCAGGAGGGCAATAGGCACAGTTACATTTGCATACTGCTTAATTCTTCTAGCTTTGCTCAGTGATACATCTCAGTGAATCTGAAATTGCAGAAGATCCTGACACCTCCCTGGGAAGCCCTGTGTCTACATCAGCAAAGTCTGGCTCCAACGGAGACCTACCGCAGGCCTTTTGGATGCAGCAGCTGAGTGCTTGACTCCCAAGAGCTCCCTTCCTGGTTAAAAGCAGACTACTTTTAATCTTCAGAAACGAAGCACTCATTTTTACTTAGAAAGAAATTGGAATGGGCTAAAATACTACCCCACCTCTGAGGAACAAGGAAATGTGCTATTATAATTGCTAGCAGCAAATGGACTTAAGCACATGTGTGTTTACTTCGATGAGAAGAAAAAGGAGGTGAAAGTCTGACAAGCTTCACAAAAGGCCCCTCACATTTCTCTCTTCTGCAGAAGTTTTTTTAAAAGATAATTTTAAAGCCTTTCTCCATCTGCTGTACATAAGCAAAATATACATATATTCTCCAGAAATAAAGACTTTCAATACAGCTGTTATGCTGGCCAGCCAAAAAATGATGACCCTACACTCTCATTTATCAGTATTTTAGTTGCTCTTATCTTCCAAAGCACTAACATAGTGCTCTGTGAGTGACACAAAAGCTGCCTGAAATGTAAGGAATAGAGTCCTAGTCCAACAAGAATACCCATGATTTTAATTTTGAAATGCTGCCAGAAAACAAGACCAGGGCTGAATCAGCACAGTAACAGTGATATTGAGATGCAAACTTCCACAGTGCCAGGTGGAGGGCAAATAATAAGATCTTGATATGATGTATTTTAGTAGTTAAATAAAACCTGGGGAGATGTCAAAGAGGATCTCAGGAAAAAGAACTGAAGCAGATTTTAGAAATAAGGTATTAAAGCAAGCAAATAAACAAACCAAAACTCAGACCTTGAAGGCAGTATCATCCATATCATCTACAGAGTCACTTAAATCATGTCAACACAAGAGAGAGAAGAGTAGGACTCAAATACTACTGGAAGGCTGGCAGAATAAAACTAAACTTTTCTATATCTTTACTGTACTTTCTTTGTTTTGAATAACCTTCTCCTCAGTCCAGAACACAGAAGCTTTTTACAAGTTTAACGTATTCTCACCTGTTAAGTTAGTTGCTTACCAGAACTTCCCGTTCACTCAGTCTGGATTCCCCCAATCTTCCCTCCCTTCTGTTGCTGCAACTAAAGCTTCAATCTTTCACAGTACCAGTGAGAGGAATAAAAGAAGTTGCAAGAGTTGGTAAGAAACCTCTACACAGACTCCACTTAGACGTTCCCCCCATACAACATAGCCAGGCC